TACTCCAAATAAGGTGTGGTGCATAAGCAACTGCCTCCTATTTAGTGCCACTGAAATAACTGAAAAGATATATTGAAGGGATCAAATGCATTCCCTTGTATTTTCAAAGAATAAACATGCAAGGACTAGAGTGGAAAAAAAACACTGTAATGCACACTGAGTCCTTGTTTATACCATTCATATTTTCAAGGTTCTCACAAAAGCTGTATACAGGGGGATTTGGCTTTGACCTCAAAGCAGCTTTTGTGTCCATTACTTGTAGTCAGAAGATGCTAAAATTGTTGGAATATTGATAGACTGGAATGAAAAAGAAAAGGTTTTGTTCTTTTTTTTTTTTTTTCTTTTTCTTTTTTAAACTGAACACTCTGTTAAGTAAAAATGTTTCATGTCAGGGCAGCATATTTGAACTCATATTTTTAATTCAGCCATGCTCACAATAATGCCATGCAGAGGTCAGAGGAAGCCTAGATAATGTATTAGCATATTTACTGAACATGCATGTTCGGCGCACACACAATATTGCACCTATTGATAACACAGAATGTCTGGGCATTTAGATCAGTTAAAGGTACCAGCATCTTTAATAATTCAGTCCTTATCTCTTGTCTACACCAACTGACTTTGCAAGACATCACGTAGCATTATCAGGTAAAAAACTTGGAGGACCTGGATCAGATCAGAGTAAAAAAAAAAAAACACTTTGTGAGAGCAAAGAAAGCAGCAGCCTTAAATTTTAAAGTCTGGCTACAGACAAACTGCCTTTTGTTTTGCATGCTGCGACTGCAGCAAACGTATCTGATTCTAGCTGTCTGATTAGTCAAGACTGTGGCAGATGTAGTTATCTGAGATCAAAGTTGAAATCATGTGTAGCGCTGCATGCCAGGAGAACTTAAGCTTCTACACAGTTTAAAGCAAACCTGAAACAAGAAGCAATTTAATTAAAAAAATAAAGAGAAGAGAAAGCAGCAGAAGGAATGTCTACCTTCAAAGAGACAACCCAGTAAGCCCTCCATTTCAGCCAATTACATTACAAAGCAAACCTTTGGTTACAGATTTTACCAGTAACAATGATGCCCTACAGTGAAAAATGAAGCAAATTCATAAAAGTAATGGCAGACTTAATAGTGATTTAAAAGCCACCTTTGTCTTCTGAAATGAACATATACATAGTATGTATAGTTATTGAAAAGTACAGTAAAGCCCAAATGAAACACAAATGTAAGGGAAGGCAAGTTCAAATTATTCCCTCTAAAATAGAGTACTAAAAGTCAAGGCATTGTTTTTGTACAGAATTCCACTGCATTTTTTTATTCTCTTAGAACTGATCAGAAAGCTGTGTTCTGGTTCATAAGGCTCAGATGTGAAACAAAAGTAATCATAAATAATGTTAAAATGTATTCTAAAATTCTTGTTTACTGGGACTTGATGTTTAGAAAGGCTGTAAAAGATTATGGATACTACCACACACAACTACATTTCAAACTGTTTCCCAAAATTTTGCTGGACCAACCACAGAATGTCACTCTTTCACGGATATGTTGTGCAATGTTACAACTGTGTGCCAGAAGGATCTAAACTACTGCAGATGACTGAATCCATTGAATGGATGCTCTTTATTCAGTCTCTCCATGTTTTTGCATGGGTATTAACTAGCTTTGGTATGAGGCCCGTCCATTGTCTGCTCGCTCTGCCCATCCTTGCATGATATGAATGAAGATTAGTATGGATAGTCTGAATGAACCACCCAGGGTCTGGTGTTAATACGTTGCAGCAGGAAATTATATGATGTCACTGCATGTATAAGTAAACTAAATGAAACACAATGCAAGCGTTGAATTCAATATGGCTAAAGCCGGTTGTAAAAGATGTTGAATGAAGGACAAAGGCAGCCTGTTAAAATCAATATGTCCACTTCCTGTTTTAGTGCATGTGCAGTTTTTCAAGGCCACACAACTGAGCATTCTTTTTATCTTCTGCTCTCCCTCTATGTTTGTGTGATACACCAAGAATGATTCATGTGGGATATCCAACAAACAATGCCATTATAATTTGTCATTTCTGCATGCTTGGCTCTCTCACTTGTGGTGGAGATTTGGCAAGGTCACCGGATTCACCTGACCTGCTGTAAGGCAGCACAATGAGGGGCAAAAGGATAATACACATGACACGGATTGAAATGGATTGCAGTCTTATATTCCCAGAACAGCACTCCAACAAGCTGATAGCTGACTGCACATAGCAGCTACTCCTCATCGCTTCTGTTTTCTTATTAAACCCGCTGTATCCTCGCTGTGCAAAGCAGTGTGGAAACAAAAGCCACAATGGTGTTAGAGCAATGCCATGTGACCAAATGAAGCTCTAATCAAACAAAGAAGTATCTGTGAACAAGTGCTTGAGCTTACAACCACCTTGTACTCTTGACTCTAATTAAGACCACATTTTGCTGAGGTCAGGGAGGGGTTTTAATTTAAAAACCATTAAGTTGTGCGCATAGTCAGGACTTGTGTGGCATCAAAAGCAACTATCATTTTAATTAAGTCTTATCTTTACCCAACTTCTCTGGCACAAGACATCGTCATAAATTCTAAATAACAACTTTAAATAAAATGAACGTTACAAAAGGTACTGACTTGTGAACTCAGGCCTCAGCAGTAATTTGAGTTGGGGTGGAAAATTCTGGAAACTGAAACAGCATTTACCTATCGCCTAGAAATGGTAACAAATGGGATATACAGGACATCGTGGACTATATATTTCATGGTTAATGACATTGTGCTGAAGTTTTTGTTCTCAATCATAAAATTGGTTAATAAAGTCTTCAAAAAGCATTGCTTTATGCTACATGATTGTCTTTTTGGCAATAGACAATATTGTAAGAATATTTGTATTGTCAAGTAGGCTGTGTGTGTGAAAAATCTGATGAACAGAAGAACCCATTGCTGCTTTCACACTTGCACGAGCATTTGATACTAGACAACAACATCACGTGTTACTTGTATCTTGAGTGATGACACTCAGTGCTTTCAGTGCATTGTCATTTGTTGCCTTCTATCCAATATCTTAACAACATCCCAGATTGATGTTGAGGTAAAGAAATTATCTTGTTCAATCTTCTTATGAGACTCAAAAGCTGTCATAGTAATCGTGAGAGCTTCTGTTAGGTACACAGCAAAGTGCCACTTTCATCCCTAGTGGCCTGCAACCCCTCCATGCATACAGATGGGGAGCGGAGAAAAGAGCAAGAGCACATTAGTAAACAAAGCCAATGTGGCTCAGTGAAGTTCAGCTTCTCATTAATGTTAACACTTTCCTCTAAAAGTGCACTATACAGAATATTCTTAAAATACTGACCATCACATAACACACAGTGGCTTGTCTTGATCCTATTTATTGCTATCATAGTCTTAGCCCAATTTGACTCAGCCTTTAACAGCAATCTCCAATTGGTATGGAATCCAGTGGCCACTTGCCAAATGCCTCATTCATTGTTTTCTTTGGTTTGTTCTTTAACTGCTTGTTCTTCAACATGTTTGACAGGATGTGTGTATATTAAAAATATGTTTCTTGACAGTAATACATTTTTATTCTGTGAAGTTGTATTGTGGATAGACTGGACATTAATTATTTAATAAATCAATTTGCTATTCCATCTTAAGTACAAAGAGGTATTATATGTTGATATGGGAGAGCACCAGCTGTTTGGCATGCTACCTTGGGGGATATTTATCCAGAACTCATGCATAGAAGTCTTTAGCATATTTTAGCTGTTAATTCTTCATATTCTGTTGATTGATTTTTTATTTCAATATTTTAAACTGTTGAACTAAGACCCTTATATATTTTACATTAAAGAAATGCCCTGCAGCCTTTAAAAGTGGTTAACATTAATTTAAAATGATTCACTACTGGATTTTTGTAAACATCTACAAGTTATTTATGCTTCTTTTAATTAAAGACATCAATGTAAATCATTACAGGTAGAGGTCAGTATGACATTTTAAAATGTCAATTTTGATGGTTCTAGACTTTGAAGTAAGACTTTGAATGAATGAATTGTCATCATTTCATAAATTCTCGTATGAAATATAAAGGTGAAAGACATTCTGATCTACTGACTCTGTCCTATTTCACAGGGTTTAACTGGTGACTGGCTATTTATCAGCGCACATAGTCACGTGATTACTTTTTTTAATGGAAAATCAGAAGTATCCAACCTCAATTTATGGTTTTCACATTCTACTCCATTATAATAATAATAATAATAATAATAATAATAATAATAATAATAACAACAGATTTGCACACACATTCCTTATATTTACAGCAGATTAACACAATGTTGTTGTTTTTTGTTGGTTCCTTTTTTTGGGGGGGGGGATAATTGTGAAATACAGGACCCATTTGACCATTTTCATTTTTTTCTTACAGCACCATTCTATTCATTTGAAGTTGTCCTTGACCCGAAAAAACAGAGAAACAGTAATCTCATTTGAGAACACTTGGTCACTTGAATCATCAAACCCTACGTCAACAAAAAACATGCCTCAAGCACTTCTTACCGTGGGAGGAGGGGGAAATGTGAAGCTCCGAAGTAATCATAAATCGTACTCTGATGGGAACAGTTTGAATGAAATGACTGTGAAATTGACCAATTTCGTTTTTGTTTTTTTGTTGCCTGTGCTCCCTAGGTGGTCCCATCTTATACCAATGAAGGCTAAGATTGTAATATCATTTTAAATGCCTGTTTCCTTGCTGTGGTAATCAGTCCCCTAAGAAATAATTATTTTCATCTGACCAAATAAAAGTGTCCTCTATAAACGCCCCTGAAAGATGCACGGTGGCTCCTGAATCCGTTTGTCCATTAACTGTATGAATATGCGAGCCCTGCAGGCTGCAGACCATATGCTCCACATAATACATGCAAGTGATGCTACCTGGCGATTAGAGAGAAAGAGAGAGAGAGAGAGAGAGAGAGAGAGAGAGAGAGAGAGTACTTCAGGAGCTAAACAAGAGAGAAGATATTAGAGCGAATTCAGCCTTTTGTTTGAGTATTTGCAGCTTTAAATATTGTCCCCCGTGCAGCACCAAGGAAAGAAAACACCGAGGGAGAGGAGGAAAAAATATATAGGGAGTCTTGGCTGATGCATCTGTGCAAGAGCATCCATTTCACGGCGATTACAGTTCGAACCTGAGGAGACGGTGCGCATTTCTTTGAGAAACACGGTGCTTTTCTCTCTCCTCCGAAGTCATTTTCCTAGAGCGGCTGGCGAACGCAAAGACACGGTTACGGGATTTCATAACGAGGCTTTTCGTTTGAAGCAAAAGCAGGTCGAGCGCAGTTCCAGCAGGCTATACTGCGTCTTGTTTGTGGAGTGGAATTTTGCGGTCCCTAGCTCAAAACGCAAAGGGGAATATCAGACGTTCAAGTTCCCTTGGAAGTTGCGCAGTGATATAAAAACATGGGAATTTGTGGTTATCTGGCGGTGTCTGGGAAATGCCTTGTCGTCATCGGACTTAAATTGTTATTCCTTGTACCTGCAGGAGTTCCAGCTAGAAGCGGGGATTCTGTATTAAAGGACAACATCACCGTCAGACAGGGAGACAGCGCCGTCTTAAAGTAAGTCTCGGATTATTTTTCATTGTCACATCACTAATATGATTTCCTCTTGTGCAGCACGGGAACTGATTCAGTCTTTATAGCTTCTATGTCTTGGTCCGAACAGCTAATCAAGCCCGGTACTACATGAGTTACTAAAGGTCACCATAACCTATATAAGAACGGACTAGTGCTCGTTTGTTTTATAGGTGCACATGCAGAAGATAAGTTATAGCATGCCTAACTCGGTGTTTAGCCCCTTCTGCTCATTGCCCTTGAATGTTATTGATCTTACTGGTTAATGTCTTGTTGAGGATGCACAGAGCTGAGGTACTCACATTGAGAATTAGGAGGGGTTGCGTACCCTACTATTGATTTGCTCATGTGATACAAATACAAATGCAATTATGACTTATTTTCATTTTATTCATTCTCTTTGTGAAAAGCTATGTGTTGTTTTCATCTTTTAAGAACTTTGAGTGGTTAACGGTGTTCTTATCAGATTTAACACTTGTATATTTGAACCTGTGTTCTATTATAGCACTCCAGCATATGATTTAACTATGTGTCAATGTTGCATTTTATGATATTTTATTTTTTCTCATCTCCCCACTCTTCACTGTGAGATTATTTTATTTGAGTTTTGCTGGCTTGCTGTTCATTTTGTTTCAGAATAAAGCAGGTGCGGTGTTAGAAATTCAGAATCCCTGTGAAAAATGACAGATAGGGTATGGTACATTTGCCTACCCACATGAATACATACATAAATACACACCAATATGTAAAAATAAATTATATGTATTTATTAGATTTTATAGATTGGTAACATATGTAGAGAAACACATTAATCCAGTAGCTTTGTTTTCTGATATTGTTTGGGTCAATAGTTTTTAAACTTTCATTGTTAACAATTAAAAATAATTAATATGAACCCTTTTCTTATGTGAGAATCACTTGTGAATCATACTTAAGTAGACAATTTAGAATCTCATTATCTCTGCCAAAAATTGGTCTGTTCTGAAAAGATAAATAAAAGCAAGCAAGTCATTCATGTTTCAACTCCAATGGCTCTTTTACTTACTTGTGAAGCACGCCACTTTGCTGGAGAAACCACTGCCTACAAGCTTTAAGAGCTCATCTTTATCAGACTGCGATGAAACATTTCTATGTTAAAAGGGGTGGTCAATTCCATAATTATAAGGGAGCCTTCGTGCTTTTTGGATGGGATTATGAGTGATTTGATGAGGATGAAAATATTGCAAATTATATACTATGGTTGTCATATTGACTTGACATTGACTTGATTTACATCATTTCCTCTGGGATTTACAAAGTTTACGCAGTAAATGGTCTGTATTTGTATAGCGCTTTACTTGGTCCTAAGGACCCCAAAGCGCTTTACACTATACACAATCATCCACCCATTCACACACTGGTGATGGCAAGCTACATTGTAGCCACAGCCGCCCTGGGGCGTACTGACAGAGGCGAGGCTGCTGGACACTGGTGCCACTGGGCCCTCTGACCACCACCAGTAGGCAACGGGTGAAGTGTCTTGCCCAAGGACACAACGACCGAGACTGTTGATCGGACTGCCGATTACAAGACGAACGCCCAACTCTTGAGCCACGATCGGCCCGGGGCTTTTAACTTTTGTACTTTTGTACTTTTAACTTTTTACCTACCTGTATCTGGAAATTAGATATTTTTAAATTTAGTTTGAATGAGGATGAAATTGTAATAAATACAGAAAACGAAATGCTGAAAGTTTGTGACAGTAAGCACATGAAAATAATGTAATCCGTAAATGTGAAGAAGGAAGCATATGAAGAAAAATGTTTCTGCTGCAGATGTAAGTATAATTCACAAGCAACTCAATAGACACAAACTTCTGTGGCTATGTAATTATGTAGTAAAATTCTTATATATGTTGTGGCTCAGTACCTTTGGTTGTCAGAGTAGGGCAATAGAGTTCAAATGACTCTAGGCTGCCTGGCATGAGGTACTTGGACTAGAATTATTGTAATGTCTTTTGGACGCTATAGTATGTGGAAGGTCATCATGTGTCATACACTGGTTGCACCCCTATGTAGTCCAAGATGGAACTCTGCCTAGTCTTCATCTTTTCTCCCCTGTTCTACTCTGGTAATCTTTTAGTCATTTCTAGGCTGTATAAATGTGCGCTGCCCTTCCCTGATTAATAGAACGTGTTAAGTAGCCTGTTGGATTAACTAAAACCACCCATTTCATACTCCTCACGCTGAATAGTGACTGGCTGAAATCCACTAGCTCCTTTGTCATGCTGATGTCAAGCTGCAAAAGGTTGTGACTGTAGCAGATGTGAGGTTTTTGGCTCCTTAATATTCTCCTTTTCCTATCCTAACATGTTCACTCCACAGCAGAGAAGTCATCAAAGAACTTGTTGCACTGCCATGACCCCAAGTTCAATCTTTAAAAGAGAGGTTTAGAAATTGAACCAAAAGCTGACAATAGAGTAACCCTGTGCTGCGCCACAGTGTATCCAATACACTGCCCTTGAGCAAGATGAGTTGTCAGTGAGCTAGTCAGTCCATAATGTAGGAAACCATGCCATCCACATGCATTGCTTTGAGCTTTCCCCCAAGCAGGGGCCACTGGATGATGATGAAAGCAACACAGAAATAATTCTCCTCCGCCTTGCTGGCTTCTGTGGGTGGGAATAAGGCCTGTGGAGCTGCTATGCGATGGCATTGTCCATGTCCACATTTGACAGCTACATGCCTAGAGCACCCTGCAAGGCTGATGCTGTGAGCCCCCTCTGCCTTGCCTGTGATGAGCCTCATCAACCAAATGGCAAAGATGCAGAAGCTTGGAAGGACAGCAGGTGTTGAGATTTGGACTTAGAGAGGTGGACCAGGGGCAGCAAGTTTTGGACTGGAGGCAGAGGACGAGGGCAGCTGTGGAGCTGACCTCTGATTTGATTGTTTCATTTGACATGAATGGCAACACTGTCTGTGTATTTATTAAACAGTCATTTAATAAGATTAAAACACTGCTACAATTATATTCTGATAACACATATTTGTAAATAAATTATAGCACTGAGAAACTGCATATTTGGGGAAATGCATTATTGCTTGGAAGGCAGCCATGATCTCATTTGTTGCATTTTCCTGACAGTAAATTTCTTCAGGTTATCAAAGTTGTCCTAAAACAAGAAATTCAAACAATAATACATTCCACCCTGAACCAGAAAGTGTTTCTATCTCACATCAGGAATCAAATATAGTGATGCGAGCCAAGTGACAGCAGCAGGTTGTCAAGAGTTAAAAGCTTTTATTCCAGGGAAAGTACAGCATTAATGTGATTCTGGCAATACATTTTAAATGAACGATTGCTGCTTCCGAGCTGTAGGTAAAAGAATTCCTCAAAGGTTATTTTGCTTCCACTAAGCTTTAATATTAAGACAGTCAAGGGCAACACAAAGCAGTATCATTCTGACATAAAGAAAGCCACTGCCAGCGGGAACTTCAGAAGATGTGAGCAGCAGAATAATTAGCATCATTCAGCTCAGCTTTAGAAGCAATATGACTTTTTTCCACAAATACACAGATCACCACGAAAAAAATTCCCTGGGTTGCACATGTTAGAGAAACAAATCAGTTTAAAGCCAGTATGTGTATATTATACAGGTATGACTGTCTTTAAGGTAGAATGTGCAGCTGCTGGTAATCCCAGCATTTTTGCACAAGCATTTTTCTTTTCTTTCTGAATAATAAATACTGTGTTGTCAAAAGGTATTTACCCCCTATTCTGAGTTCTTTTCTTTGTTTTGTTTTTTTGTAAATTTGTCACCCTTACATGTTTCAGATTACCAAACATATTTTCATATTGGACATAGATAAGTTGAATACATAGAAATGCAGTTTTAAAATGATGATTTCACGCAAACTTACCTGAGCCTATTCAAAGAAGTAATTGTCCTTCAAACCTAATAACTAGTTGTGCTACATCAATGAGTCTTTCATATCAATTTGGCCAACTCGTCTTTGGAGAATTGTTTTCAGTTCGGGCACATTGGAGGGTTTTTGAGCATGCATGGCCTGTGTAAGGTCATGCCAGATCATCTAAAGTGGATTTAAGTCTAGACCATCTAAAGCCATCTCTTTTTAGCCAGTCAGAAGTGGTCTTGCTGGTGTGTTTCAGATCATTGTCCAATTGCATAATCCAAGTGGACTTGAGCTTCAGGGCAAAAACTAGGGCCCAGACATTTTTTTTCTGGAATTTCTGGTAGAGAGCAGAATTTATGACTCCATCAACTATAACAAGGTGCCTAGGTCCTAAAGCAACAAAACAGCCCTAGAGCATCACACTACCACCACCACATTTGATTGTTAGAATTATGTTCTTTTTAGAAATTGGACAGAACTTTTCCAAAAACCAAAAACTTTTGTCTTGTCACTGCACAGAATATTTACCCCTTTGGAGATCTTGAAGATGTGTATGTTTTTTGGCAAATTTGAAATGAGTCTTTGGGTAAAAATGGCGTACATGGGAGAGTTCCACGCAAAAAACACTCCTGGCGAAAAATAACACAGTTTCCTTTTTGTTAAATCTGAATACTGAGCTAAACTCAGGCAAGTGAGGCTTGCAGTCCTCGGTGCTTTTGTGACTTCCTGAATGAGTTGTCAATATGCTGTTAGAGTAATTTTGTTAGGCTGGCCACTCCTGGGAAGGTTTTCCACTCTTGAAGCTTTTCTTTATTTGTGGATAATGACTCAGTAAAGATTACTGGATTCCCCAAGCTTTAAAATGCATTTGTAACTCTTTTCACACTGACTTTGGTTTTCAACTGATCTTGAGTTTAATTTTTTCTCTTAATAAATGAAATGATCATTTAAAAACACCTTGTTTAACAAACAAAACAAAACAAAACAAAAAAAACATGATTTGGGGAAAATTCACATTTTGTGTGTTATTTGCAAAGAAAAAAATAAATTCTCAAAATATAAATGGAAATAAATCTCCAAGGGAGAAAATAA